CATAGGAAATGACACTCTGAATAGAATGACATATCCTATGTCAACTTTTGACACTTTCGCATATGGTTTATTTGAAATTGTAACATGCGGTTTATAAGGACAATTTGATTCTGAACTCTACTTCTTCACTGAACTACTAAGTGTGTACCGCTGAACTACTAAGGGTGTATCAAATTATTACGGTACCAATCAAAACGTTGCAAAAAGATCCTCATCTGCGACAAATTACATCCATTTTTTTAGATCTTGCAGCACAAAAATCTGAGCTAGTCGAAGCTGGAAATACATTCTTATTTTTATTATATGGTCGACATAGGCTAGCAAAAGATCAGTTGAGGTATTATAAATATAAAACCCTTACATCTCGTCAGGTACTTAGTAAACATTTTGATTTAGCTACCTTACCTCCAACAACTAACGCAGCTGAAAATTATTATTATATATCATTTACAAATGCAGTATTGGCTAAATAACGGCAACAGAATGGGGATGGACTAAAAAAACGGATACCTTAGTTCCAAAAACAACGTCAAACGCAGTGGCACCAGAATTTGTATTGAAAATGATTTACTGTAATTGCAAATCTGGATGTAATAAACTATGTACATGTTTAAAATCCAATATGCCCTGTTCAAGCTTGTGTGGTAACTGTAATGGTATTTCTTGCGACAACAAACAAATCTCGGTCGATGAAGAACAAATCGAATAAAATTGTAAACTTCATTTTTTTTCTAGAGATGACAGTTTGAAAAGTTAGGTTACAAGTAACGCATTTTTATTAAAATGGTCTAACTATTTTCAATGGTCGCAGCTTTCTAAAAATTTTTGCAAATTCAAAATTATTTGCACTGGCCTAAAAAACGGTTTGAGGTACAAAAATATTTTTCAAACAAAAGTTGTAGAGAATTTTATCCTCTACAATATTTATGATAAATACAAATAACGTAAATGTGAAAGGGAACGAGATAAACAAAATAACTTTATTGTTTTAATATTTCTGTTTCAGTGGAGAAACATTTTCCAGTAATTATCGTCATTCAATAATAATACTACTATTTGAGATAAACAGTTGGAAGAACTTTTCTAGAACCAGTTACAGTTATATCAGATAAAAATTCCTATTAAATTATTAAATATTCTAACTTTACTATCACATTAAGGAGAATAGTAGATATGAATATTAAAATCTCGGTTTAAACAGTTACTAGGCGCCTTTCCTATTCATTTAATATATGCATAAAATCAATTATAATTATTTATAATAACTTGACGTTTATTGAACATATGTGTATTGGAATTTAATTGCTAATTAACAAAATCATATCTAAGTTGTATAAGGAAAGTATATTTCCGATTGACCGTAAATTATAGACTATTATTATCAAGTTGACTTTGTTTTTTTTTTACAAATCTGTATGTTTTTTGTAGAAATGTGTATAGATGTTCTCAGGGAATGTAAAAAGGAAACCAGTAGGTCATTTATAATTAAAAGAAGAAGCGAACAATTACACGTTTTTATCGCCGAGTGAAAATGTTCGATGTTTTCTAAAACCGTCTGGTTTCATAATAAATGAAATTTATTTATTGAAGAAATAGTTTCAGATGATTAATTTAATATTTTATGAAGCTGGTATTCATAACCCGTTGCTACAATAGGAACAAATATTTCGATTTTAAAACTCTGGAAGAATATAATAAAGTATAAAATTGCTTCTTGATTGAGGGGGCAACAAACAATAGGTTATGAAGATAATAGGAATGAAAATAGAAATATTCTTTTATGAACAAGGCGTGAGCAACATATAACATAGCTAGTATAAATTGCTAGAAAATTGAGTTCATCTTTTGTGGTATCTTTAATTGAAGGATTGAAACACAACACGTGTAATGTGTTATGGGTAAATCCCGTTTTAAAATTGTTTTTTGTTCTTGTACTTTCGGCATTTTGCCGCTCAAACAAATACCACTTAATTTCTTTATCTTCAATTTTATGTAATTTTTATCACAAAACAAAATGTATTGTGTTTATTATTTTCATCAAAAATGTCAAGCATACAGTTTCAACAAGCATACAAATCAAACTGTGTTGTCATTGAGGGATATGTGGACATTTAGTGTTAAATATTTTTATTAAAAGTTGGTATAAGTAGTCATAAGTGTTTAATCTGTAAATAGCATGATTGGATCATATATTATAGTATCGTTCATTGAAAGAATTGGGAAGATATGCAACCTAATGGGCGAATTCGTGACAAGGCTGATTTGATTTCCCCTTACGTCTCAAGTGATGTACGGTGGAGCCTCTCTACTTGTTCTGCGGCCAACGCTTAAAACACTCATTTTCTCTAATTCGGTTAGAGCGAAGAGATATCGAAGACGGTGTGTAGCTGAAAGCGACAGTGTTGCCATATTAGAATGTGTAATACATTTGACGAAAAATATTTTTGGATGAAAAATCCGCGTTTATGTATTGAAAATTGATTCGTGTTAAATATAGAATAAAGAACAAAAATAAATTCGTACGATCGAAAAAAGTCTTTTAGTTGGCTTGAAAATGACGACTATTGGCATTTACCATACTATTTTACATGTGAAATAATATATTATTAGCAATCTTCATTTTCAAACCAACTCTGACGCCATTCTTTGTTTAATCATAATATTATATTAAATTGTTGAAAATCCGTACTGTACCCAAAATCCGTAAATCTACGGATTACCGTAGTTCTGACAACACTGTCTCCGGCAACCACCCACTCTGTCGGCTGAAAGCAGAACTACGGTACATTATTATATTTATCCGCTGCGCTGTAAACGACTATCAGCGCGTAGCGGCGCAGACCTAAACTAAATCTCGGACATGTAATGGTAATGCCAGCTACATCTCGGACAGTTTTTGTGCCACGAAATCGCCCATAAGGTTGCGCATTTTCTCTGTTGACTTATAATAATGAATGAATAATGCTCAAAACCAATAGTGTATTATAATAATATACAATATACTGTACCGAGAAAAACGAAAAGGAAAACAAAAGAGTGAGACCGAAGCAATCAAAACACGTTTAGGGCGTGTTTTGGTCGTTAGATATAGCAAAATAAAATTACACTAAATCACCACAATGCACCAAAATACTTTTACTTTTACACTGGACGCGCGTTTCGCTAACCATGTTAGCATCATCAGCAGATGATTATAAACGATCTATAGCTATAGATCTATAGCTAGGCATTAACCTAAGGCCCACCGACCGCCAAATCATTACTGTTTTGAGTCCTGCAACTCAGCATTTATATTATTATTACCTAATTAACACTAAAAGTTTAATGTTCGTTGCTTCCTTATTTTGCATCATTAAAAAATTTCTTGTTTTACATCATTGGGAAAAACGATAACACATATAATTTGGTAAAGTAAGGGCGGTATTTCCATTTTTTTTAAAAAAGTATACCGCTGAATGGCGGTATTCGATATACAGGGTGGTCTGAACTGTATTCCGGAAACTTCGGCAGCATATTCTGCAGATAAAAATAAGTAAAAAAGTTCGTATAAATGTATGACCGAAAATGCTTAGTTTCGGAGATACAGGGTGTAGAAGTTACATTTTTATTTCGATTTTTTCCAAATAATTTCTGAAGTAACGTCAATATTTTGATGAAAATTGGTGTCTAGAAGTTTTTTTGACATGAGAAATTTGGTCATAATCGGATAATTGGTCGATTCTAAAAAAAAGAAAGAAAAATCACTGTTCCAGTGTTTCCACGGTCAATGCCACTAATGCCAGTAGTAATATCGCAACTAATACTACTAATGCTACGACTGATCCGCGACCAATGCCCATACCACTAAAGCCGCTACTAATGCCAAATTGTGCTATACTGCTGATGGCACTAATGCGATCGCTTTGTAAACAATGCCATCGAGGTTTACACCTCGCATTAGCGCACTGATTTGCAAATTAGAGGAAACCAAGAACGTTTTTCTCATTTTATCAGCAGAGTCGCAAAAAGTCGCAGTATTTTATTTTACTGTATGAAAGTCCATTGTTTACTAAGTAAAACGTATATAGACAATACAGTAGAACTTCGGTAATCCGAACAGATATAGTTTAGGTGGTCGTCCGGATTGGTGAATTGTCCGGATTACCGAAGTTATGCTGATAATGAAACACAGGTTAATTTTTTAGCTTTATTTACATATTTATATGTACCAACATTAACTCAAGTGTTTTACAAATAATATGTGTATGTACGTATAATAGAAAAAGTTTAAAACATATCCAACTTTTGCGGCTATCTGGCCAAAAAGGAATATTATGTACGAGTATTTAAAGGCAAAAAGTCACCAATTTTTTTTTGTATAAGGTTCTCATTGTGAAGCTTTCTTGATAGTTCTAAATTTTTTTTCAATAAAAGGACTTCTTGATAATTCAATTTGTTTTCTTCTGCCCACTGCACGCATTTTGAAAAACACTGTACTGCTTCTATGTGTTTGATTTTTGTAGGAATGTCAATAACATCCTCCTCTTCTTCATCGTTTGTGTTTGATTGTACCGATTCAATTATTTCCTCGTCGCCAACATTATCAACAGCTATTTCGTCTCTTCCTGTCGCCCAGTTTCTTATTTCTTCATCATTCAGTTCACTTTCCGGATCTATAACTTTTAACATTTTTTTCAAGTCGTTGAGTTTCGCAGCTTCTTCAAGTAGGCTTTTTCTTAGATCGGCCAGCAAAATATCATCTTCTTCATCTGACACCAATTGAGGCCATATTCCATCCCAGCTTTTTTGAATATTCTTTTCGGTTATGGACTTCCAAGCAGAGTCGAGAGTATTCACTGCATCCAGAAGACTAAATTTCTTCAGCAGTTGCATTGTGTCTTTGTTTTCTTGTGATATAATGTGGGTCAGCAATTGCCTTCTGTAAGAAACCTTGATATTTTGTATCAAGTTCTGATCCATTGGCTGAACTAATGCAGTACAATTAGGAGGCAAAAATACCACTATGAAATTTGGATTCGTATTGAGCTCTTCTTCGGGTGGGTGTGAAGGCGCATTGTCAACAAGAAGCAGTGCCCTGCTGGCTTATTGGCGTTACTCAGATATTGTTTCACTTCAGGAACAAAGATTGTTTTAAACCACTCAGAGAATATGTTTCGGGTCATCCATCCTTTGGTACTAGCCTCGTATTTCACAGGCAACTGTGCATTTTTGAAAACTCGGGGGTTCTTAGATTTACCTAACACAAGTAACGGCAACTTATGTGTGCCTGATGCATTTGAGCATGGCATAAAGGTTACACGGTCTTTTGAAACTTTCCTCCCTGGTGCCGATTTCTCATCTTTATGCACCCACGTTGTGTTTGGCAAAACCCTCCAAAAAAGTGCGGATTCATCCGCATTGTAGACTTGCTCTTTAGTTAATTGCATTTTCTCAATCAGGGCTTGCAGTTTAAGTTGGAAAGGAGCAACTGCTTCAGCGTCACTTGAAACACGTTCTCCGCATACTTTTAAAAAATGAATGCCGCGTCTTGGCTTAAATTTGTCAAGCCATCCTGAACTAGCTTGAAAGTTAGTCTTTCCAGTGATGCACTCATAAAAAAATCTGGCTTTTGTGCGCAAGACTTCACTAGAGACAGGAATGTGATTTTTACGTTGCTGTAGAAACCAAGTGTATAACGCCTCTTCCACATCAGGATTCTCGGGCTTTTTCATAACTTTTCTCTGGCCTAAAAAACATTACATATCTTTAGTGCAAACTCAAAACCCAGCATTTATTCATAAAACTTACCTATATCAGTGTACGACCTTGCAACAAAATTTCGAATCTTCACTCTGTTCTTCTTTATATCGGATACTGTTGATTTTGGTATCTTGAGAAGTTTCGCAACATGCTGAACACCACCACCTGCATCTAAACTGTCAAGAATTTTACACTTCTCTTTAATAGTAGCAGATCAATGGACGCGTTTCGTTGGAGTCATTTTTTACACGTGGTCTAACACTCGGCGCCAAATAAATACTACGTACGACTCGACTGGACAAGCCGCTGCATGTATAAAAATATTTCTTTACATATGTATACATACTAGTATACTTTTTCGCATTTAGCCGTTGTAATTTGTCATGCTTTTTAGCAGTGTCCGAATTACAGAAGGAAACAATAATATAAACGTAAAAGGAGCACAAGAACAACAACAACTTATAATCTTAAACATAAAATTTTACCATTTACCCCTTATCTGTGAGAAGTAACAACTTTGACGTTTCGTTGAAACAAATGAATGCAACTAAACAGACCCATAGCAACGCCAGTCATGGCAGACATGATTTAACTTATCATTTATCTTTTTTTGGGAAATCTTAAACACATTTGCTTTTTCGAATTTCGATCACCTTTTTCATGCTAATACTCCACCGTGCGCCGGCGCGGCGGTAATTTAGTCAGTTTGATTTTTCAAACGTTTTTTTTAACGAGACAATTCTTGAAAAAGATAAAGGGAAATGGGAAAAACAGTAATTTTTTTAATAAACTTTTATTTCTTATATTTGTTGACATTGACAAAGGAGACATCTAATTCGTATTATTTTTTGTCGTTCTTTTTATGTGTCAAGTATTCGTTGCTTAAAAAGTTATATGTACACGTGTTTGAGGGACTTTTTTTCTCCAAAAATTTAATTATCTTAAGAAGTTTTTGTTTGCCATTTTACTGAAATAAAAATGAGTGTTTTTTTTCTTGAGTCGGTTGTTTTTTGACACCCAGGAGAGCGTGCTGCCCTCTTTTGAGTGACACGAGAATAAAAAAAACGCGGATTAACCTAAGAAGAAAAAAAAATGAGATTTTCTTAAGAGTTTGAAAACTCCAATAATTTAAAGTGGTCCTAATCGCCAGGGAATGTCGCTGAAGTTAATGGATTTATTATGTTTTCGTCGTTTGGGGCTTGATTCGTCTTTTTTTTTTCATTCGCGGTGAAAGCAGCTATATATAAGTTCTCTACAAGAGCCAAAATCGAACTCTGTGATACTGTTCTATTTTTAATAAGATTAACATATCAGGATACAAGTTTAATGAACTAAAATAACAGTTATTTGCTAAATCAAATAGATATAAAGCAAATAGTAACAGAGGCCGAATGAAAATCAATTTTTTACAGGCTTTTCGTATTCAGAGATGGCAACAATTTTTAAAGCAAATTATTGTCAATACATATTGAAGTCGATTTTATTTAGGATTTTCTTTTTGTTGTGAATTTTCAAGTTTGAACTTGTATATTCGTTATTAAAAGCGTATAATTGACAGATTTTTATAAATGCTGTTATACGTAAATCTCTAATCTGATCTAAAATTTTTATTTTTATTTTCTGATAATTGATCAATGATCTGAGGTTTCCTTGAAAAAACAAATTAGTCGCTTCATAAAGAAAATATGTTTGTCCTATTTGTACAATTTAAGAAGTAGTCATCTTAAGGTGTGATTTCTTAGCGACCGACGCGACGTCTACCGGCGCCGCGGCCGGCACGGTCGCGTCGGCCTCGCACAGTAGTACGTTTCTCTATATAAAACATTAATTTTCATTGTTATAATGTACTCGCGTTAATGAAATTAATCTACGACAATGTCATTATGACACATCTAACATCGTCATTTGGATGTCATTATGGCTTTTTGGGTGCACTAGTGCTATTATGAATTCATAATAACACGCAAATTTTAAAATAAGAAACAAGCAAAAAAGGTACTTAAATACGTTTATTTATTGTAAAAATTAATTATAATATCAGTACAATTGGTTAAATTAATTCCAGACGATGACAGGTGAGTTGAATTTTTAGAAAGTAAATTTATTTTCTGAGTGCTTGAACTTGTTGAAATGTTACCCAAAATATTACATGACACTTTTTTCTTATTTTCTTTGGAATTTTTTATATAGCTCTCTGCCACTGTGTTAGAGCGCCAACCATGTCTTTTAACAGTTAATAAATCCACTCCTGAATCTGTAAGCAACGACGCAGACGATCTACGGAAACAATGCCCAGTGTATTGTTGTGGATTTGGAAGACTTAGGAACAATGCTATTTTATACGGCATTTTCCCTAAAGTATTAATGCCAACGGGTTGCTTAATACATTTTCCATTTCTGTACCCCACAAAAAATCGAGTAGGTATGCTCTGTGTTGCTTGGCCGCATAGCTATATATCTTCGAACCATTTCCACCATATTTATTCCTTCAACATTCCCTTTCGTTATAAAAAAAATCTCGTGATATCTTTGTTTTCGTAAATGGAATAATAACATGAATGCATTGTCCTTCGTCTTTAACATTTTGCAGCTGCAGATTTGTCAACTCGATACGCCGGCAGGCTCCCGCAAGTCCCACTATCAATGAAACTTTTGTCAGGAAATATGTTTTATCATCGGCTTCCAACAAAAAACGAGTTATGTCTTCTTTTCTTAAATTTCTCGATTTTTTTGACCGAAATCCTTCCGATTTTCTTTTTAGAAATGCAATTAAATGCACGTACTTACTAATATCTGTATTTTTCTTCACTGATATAACTGAACGTAGCATGGAATAATATACCCAAAGTGATGAAGCCTTCTTATCTTTTGAAAGATGTTCAAAATATGCGAGGAGAACCTTTTCGTTACTACTATTCTTGATTCCCTTCCCTTTACACCAATCTTCAAGTTTTACATAGGCTTGCTCGTACGTTTGTCTTGATTTTTCGGGAAGTAGGGAATCGACAACGTTTTGCGCAATGCCTTCAATATCCGAAGGGACACTTTCAGAATCAGAATCACCCATATTAATATTATTTTTTGCTTTTTGCTAAAACTGAACGTTTAACACAAAATTGAACATCAATAATTGAGTTGTCAAAGTCAAAATGGAAACAATCAACAAGCACGATTACCACGGCGTCGACTAATATAGGCACCTGATAACTTTGAATTTTAATTTTTATGAGGATATCTCTGATATTTTAAATTAAATAAAATCTCTTTGGATCGTCCCTCGTGTCGCATCGTAGATTAAATTTTGAATGATACAAGCTCGATACGAACTTTTTAATAAAACTTGTGTAACTAAGCCACTCGGCTAACCCCTCGTGGCCTAACGTTACACGCGTTTCATTATGATGTTCGTATCGAACTTGTATCATTAATAACTATAATCGGTCTCATTTTGATTTTGGTAAATATTATATTGAACAAATTCAAAATGACATATCCACATCTCACAGGTAACCCTCGAAAATGTTACGATTATTTCCGCATGGAGAAAGAAACTCTGAAGTATATTTTCAACAAAATTGAAAACCGTTTAAAGAAATGTTGCAATTTTCAAAATATATAGATGTAGAGAAGATGGTTATGATTAAAATCTATTAATTTTTAATAATTTTGTAAGTAAATAGCTTGAATTGTGTTAAAGCGTAATTCAAGCACTAAATCAATTACATTAAATCTTAATTGGATGTTTAGAATTGAGTCTAGTTGAATTAGTTTCAAAAGGGGTAGCTGTGATAAAACTGTTGAGCGGGTGAAGTGGGCAAGCGACAAAAAGAAACAATAAATAATTCCGGTAAAAATGAATAAAATTAGTTACAGTATTACAGTATTTAAACTAGAGAATTTCTGGTGAAAATCCATTATTTTTTCTTCCGCTTTAATTAGTTTTTCTATAATGAATTTCTATAATAATAATGACTTTTGACTACGTCTTGACTTTACCGATAAATTACATTTAAATTTTTAAATTATGCTGCCAAATCAAACGACCAATATAAGTAAAACCAACTATTTTAGTGCTTTTGGCTTGGTTCCTACTAGTAAATAGAGGAACAAATGAGCAAAGCAGTTGATTGAATGATTCTCTTGTCAACAGTATTCATAATATCTTCTTAAATAGAATTGCTGTACTTAATAACAGCATTAAATTTTACGAGTGTGGTATCTAGAACGAGTTCTAAGAAATACGTACGAAATACTTTAACGACAAACATTAATAATAGATGTGGATTCTGGGCTGAAAAATTTACTCTTTTGAAAAAAAAATGGTTTTGATCATTGGTTTTAAAATGCCTAAATTTAAATAAGTTTGACCAGAGATAATAATCTAAGATTTTTTCTATTCTTTATTTTCGTTGTACATTTTTTCACAATTTATTTTCCAGCTCTATGAACTGAGCAAATTTTTTTTATGATTTTAGTTTCAATAATTTGCCGATGTTTGTTGGCGAAACATGGTTTCAGAGGTCCCAAAGGTGTTTTGGTTTATCATGGCTGATTTAAATAAAATTTTTGATAGAAATTTGAATGGAGTGTATTAAAACAATTAACAATATAGTCACATACCAGATATGATATAAAAAATGACAAGATGTTTCAAATGAGAGCTGTAAATACTATCAAGGGCTGTAACTTCTTCAGGAAGGATTTTAGGGCATATTTATGTTTATAGGAACTTTTTGTTTTATTTTTATCACTTTTTATCACAGAAATTTTTTTTGCATCCTGTACATTAAAATATATGTGCTGTACAGAAACTGTTTTTAGAAAAAATGTGCTCAATTACTGTTCAGGTCACTCCATAATTACACAATTCTGAACATTACCACATTTTCGAATAGGGTTTACTTTTCTTCAAGAATTCTTCTGATATTTTTTTAGTATTTACTTTTCCTGAATGAGATTATATTGCGTCTTATGTTTATTATGATCTTGGCTTCACCTGTCGGTAATTTTGATGCATCTGCCAAGACGTCCGCTGGTACATTTTCGAAATCTGCTCTGGGCGTGGCCATCGTCCGTGTTATATAACCAAAATTGCACGATGTTAAGGAAGGTTCGTGAAGACTTGTGTACCTACTATCAAACTTATCCTTTGCTTTTGCTTTAATCCGCTTAAATA